GGTGGATTCAGAAGAAGACTAAACCACCCACACTCTGCCCCCCCCCCCCTCTTCGATTTTTTTAAATTAGGCCCTACATAAAAATTAGAGATAAAAAGGGAAAAATTTTATTCAAATTTAAGTCTGATAGTTCCATTTCCAGTCAACTAGAGGTGCCATAATCATTAATATTCTTATTCTCAGCCCCAACAATTGTGTGGAAAGTTTACCTTGTTTTGTTAGCCGATTTTGGTATTTACGTAGCCCTGAATTTGAAATTCAAAACTATGATTGAATCGCGCCATATGCACCCTAAATTGTTCAATTTTTTTTTTAATTTTTAATGGAGCTATAGGCCTAAAGAAAATTATATTCAAATTTGTTCTGAGAGTCCAATTTCCGGCCATCTAGAGGTGCCATAATCACAAATTTTCTTATCAGCCCCAACTATATGGTGGGATTGAGGTGGTATAGATCCTCCGTCTGTGAATGTGCCTCCCCGGGCACCCTCTATTTTGAATTCCTGGATCCGCCACTGCGCCCCCCACTTCACCTTCGCTCCCCATCACCCCCTGACATTTCAAGACTTCTATATACGCCACTGCATACAGTACTTACATTTGTCTACAACCAGATAAATTATTTCATCCAGGACTTATAACTGAGCCCTTGCCCGCATTTCTTTGAGAGAGTCAGATAGGCCTAGAGATCCATAGTGTACGGTGTTATACCAATATGATATACCTCCATATTATTTAAAAAAAAACAAAAAAAACAAAACAAAACAAAAAAAAAAACAGAACAAACCGCAACTCAAACTGAAACAAAGTAAGATTAGGCAGAAGGAAAAATGCATTATGTATTATTATCAAGTTCCTGTTTTCTTTTCTTTATTACTACTACCAGTAAATAATAGTCATACCTGGTTGGAATTTTCTGGTGCTATAGACATAATTACGCCATATGCACCATCACGTGCAATACACAAAATAAACGAACAGACGGATCCACAGATATAGTATGTAGATAACATTGTATAAATCAAATATATATATATATATATAGACAAAAAATGAGAGGTTCAACAGTAGCTTTGATTAGACATATTTATTACTATTTAGTCTCGTGCTACACATGCGTGGTGCAGCACTCTTCAGATAAAATAGTCTATATTGTGTCGGATGTCTTCAAAGCATTTATCATAATATGTGCTCTGAATGGATTAGGAGATATGCTGTCTCTTATACACATCTAGATGTGTATAAGAGAAAGACTATGTACTGTACTTTAACGGAAAGATAATGTTATACCAAGGTTTTATACATCCGTTATACAGGAATGCCTATTTTGTATAATAATACGACGATAGGCCTATTGGAAATAATAACCGTATGCTATAATTTTCATTCCATTAGTTAAAAAAAACCACCAAGTAAGCTTTGTAAATAAATGTAATCATAAAAAAGAACACATGTGTGTTTTAATATGTAATTGTTTTTATAAGAATACTTTTATTTTTAAACTGTGAACAAACAACCGGAATTTAAAATATTATACGTGTGTGTCAAAAATTGAATTGAATCAGTCATTCATTATTTATAATTATTCAGCGCTGGGGTGTTCTTGGTGTAGGCTGTTATAAATCTAATGTATTATCATTAATATTATTGTACTTAAGGCCTATGATATAACTGTAGTTTCATAGATATCAAAGTCCATGTACATATTGATTTCAGCACACTGAAACCTTACAATTGAATAGGTGTTTGAACTGGCCTACTCATAAATAAAATATTCTAAAATCATCGTCTTAGAAAGAAGTTTAGATTTATTAAATTATTGTGAACAGTGAGGATAAATTACACTCAAATGTACTGTGTTTCCCCGGAGCAGTGGGAAATACAAGAGTTTAACCTGTGTTTGCTCATGACAAGCGAAGCTGCGTGACTGCGACACGTCCGTAGGCCTATGAGCTTGGTAACAAAATTTATTCCCTGCTCTAAAGCCACGTTACCACGGTGAGACTTCGTGTTATCACGAACCAAACATGGTCATTACTCAAGTCATATTTTATTTAGGAAAAAAAAAACCTTTTCGCACATAAGTACCTGTTAATGAACATGTCAAATATATTTATGGTGCTTTTTAAACAAGTTATTTAACCGGTCATTTGTAATTCCATAGCATTTTCAGAAATTTATGTGAAAGCTTGAACATGTACGACGGAAATTTGAAGTGTAGTCTAATTCAATAGCTCTACGGACTAATCACAACCAATAAAACCTTATCGCACTTTTTTGACAGTGTTGTTTTTAGTAATTATCGTCATACACAAGAATTTTATATTCGAGCTGGGTCGACAGATTTTCTTGGTTTAGATCACTTGTGCTACTATGTGCTAGGACTTTTTTTTAGCATGTTGAATTTCTAGGGAAAGCATATCGCTAAGTCACAGGCTCGCGAGCACATACACCCTATGTGTCTTGGGATTCTCCTGAGAGGAAGTCACCGAACAGGGCCTAGAGAAAATGCGTTCACCGAGGAATTTGAAGCGCCAATAATTAGCCAAAATTCCATCTGTCGTTACCTGTTCCAAATGAGAGTTTAAACTAGCCAGTCGCGAAAGTGACAAGATTAATAATAACCGGTAATAAGAATATGTTATTCGGAATCTGTTTTGTTTAACACTGCTGTATTTTTCATTATTTCGATGTGTCAGAAACGAATCTTCCTTTTATGCATTTGAATGGAAATAAGAAAGTTTATAGTTATCATGTGACAATCGAAAGTATATACTGTTATCTATGTTGATGTGTCATCTTCTTTGAAGCAGCATTTCTCCTCATTAAGGTTTAAATTAAATTAAGCGAGAGTGAGTGTCTGCGACTAAAAACAGCGAGATGATTATCCGCGTGCATGTGGTGTCATTGCAAATTATATTTTCATAAGTTAGTGCTTTCACATACAGTAAAACAACTCTAAAAGTAAGTTAATATATAAGCAGCGAAACGTGAAATAGAATAATTTCTCAACGCAGTGATACGCAAGTGAATTTGATGGACAGTTGGAATAAATGCAGTTTCATGATCGCATTGCATAGTGACAAATGAAATTTCATAAGAAATTACCTTTAAGTATTGGACTATAGTTGTTGTTTTTGTTTTGTTTTTCCTTTATTCTTTTTCATTTGTTTAATTTTTATCTGTAATGTTCTAGCTGTTGATGGACTCCGTGTCTGTGCTAGCTCCCTATCTGCCTTAAATGTTTTAAATATTTTTTTTTGGTGATTGAAATTTTATGTAAGGCATTTGAAATTGAATAAAGAAAGAATGAAAGAAATAAAATTATAATAAAATACAAGTATGACTATAATTAGGCCTATTTATTGATAGTATGAATAAATTAGTCAAGAAAAGGATAATAAAACAATATATAAAGTTAAAATTAAGTAGGCTTGCTGAGATTTATAATAGACCTATACTGTTCAGCTAAACAAATTCTTATTTTGAATAAAAGTTCATTATTGTAGTTGGGATTCCATGCTGAGTGGACCACCGTCCGATAAGACGTGATGAACCTTTATCAATCATCGTGTATGGTATGTATTTTTAAATGTTTAAATTTTTAAATTAGGTCTAATCATTCTGTCTGAATTTAGGCGATATGATGCTGCGTTTATGAAACATAGCGCCCGCTCCTATGATTTTCGTATGGATTCGGCTCTCCGTCATTTTGTGTGGCCAAGAAAATCTTGAATGTCCTAGTTAATCGGAAAACAGGAGGTTTTCATGTTTACGGGCTGTCGTCTCCAGCACTTCAGCTTTGAATTGCTTTATCTTTCAGTGCTGGACCGCCAGCGATAAAAAAAAATCCTACCCGATGGCACTTATCGCTCTGAACAACATTTTAGCTCGACCAGCATTACTTTGAAGTCGCCGCTAATTTTCATTATCCGTCACACTATGGTTGTCATCTCCTTCCACGTCCTGTCAATCTTACGCACTCTACAGCCAGCTCCGATTGATTGATTGATAACAGGCAAGCATAGCCACAGCAAGTTGCCTCTTTGAAGTCCTCCGACAGCTCAACTCAATACCCCCGACCTGGAAGACAACAGTAAAGCTAGTACAAAGGCCGTCTGACCTTCGAAGCTCCACCGACAGAAATACTAGCTACCAACAACTAGTCTTGTCATTCAAACCGTGAGCGGCGCCCTTTGTTGTTACTCTTTAATTGCGATTATGAGAACGATTTATCTCTGAGAATCATAGCCCTTTTCAAAAGCCGTTTTTCAAATTACTCAGGCCATGTTATCAACAACAAAAACCCGACATAAATCAGCCGAAATTGACAAGGTTGACATGAAGTTGATGGATTATCGTCTGGCTTTCACTACTGGCCAGATGCCAACGCGTGTTTCAAAGCTAATCGCTGATTGGCTGTGTGTCGACAGCCCTTGTCAGTGTGCATCAATCATTTTTAGCTCGTGACAGCTACCAAGTGACAATGGCCAATCAGACCGCGCTTCGCTAGCTTAGCGCCTCGCTGATTGGCTTGCGGCAAATTTTCTTCATCTCCTGCTGTAAATTCAGTGTTTGACTTGAAGTGTTGTCGGCAAATTTGTGTTTTTGTCTGTTGTCTAGAAGGGCGGCATACGTAGAGGAGGGCTTGTGTGGCTTTCAACGGACTAAGCATTCTCATTCAAACGCCCAACGCTATCGGATCACCAGTTATTGAAAGGCTGTCGACGTAGTGTAATCAGCCAGGCAGGCCGTATAGACCTCATTCTGTGACTAGAGAGCGCTGAGAACGTATCGAATCAACTCCGTCTTTCTAACTTACCCAAATGAAGCTAGTTTCAAATATGCTATCGTCAACTCGTACTCAAACGTATATGCATACTGAGTACTTACAACCACTCGACCCTCTTCCATCGGTAAGTCTATATTTTCATGATTATTCATAGGTTGTAACAATAGTTTACAACATTGTAGATATTAATTCTAGGCCTATATATAGTAGTATGATAGGCTATATTTTACTAATCGGCTGTACATCGGCTTAACTTTTCGGTATAATAAAACATTAGCTGACGTACATTAATTATTGTTTAGTTGGAAAGAATATCATGATACAACCTTATGGAATTTTTATAAACTTAAAATAATTTTTGTTAACTTTAAGCTATCAATACATATTATAAGGACACAGTGTGTTGATTGAAGTATAACCTTGCTCTCATATATCACCAGTTACCTGTCATAATGTACATCAAAGTTGTACCTGTCAATCTTAACTTTCATCGCCAACATCACTCACTTTTTTTCTTCCAACATTACGTGCTAATGCCAAAACTTGAAACATAGCCAATATTCTTTCAATTCTTTCGCTCTATCAGTTTGTACTTGCTGTTTTTAACCGCTAGCCAATTAATTTACAATTTCTCATTTTTTATCTATTTTAGCTTGATGCGAAGAAAAGTCCTTTGGCTTTGCTGGCTCAAACATGTAGCAGCATCGGCAAACCAGATCCACCACACAACAATGTTGATAACAAGCCCGTTTACGAGTCTCAAAATGGTAAAAGTTCGCCGGAGAAGCCTACAGCTCCTATTGATGACAAATGCTCATCTTTTAAACCATATAAACAGTCGGAAAAACGCGAAGGAGATGCAACTATTATGAAGATTGGATTTCCTAACAACCAAGCACGTAAAAGTGCGTCTTCGCCGCCCGTGAATGACTCAAAACCAATGCGAAGCAATTCATGCTCGCCTACACTGAAGCCAAAAGCGGTGTCGCCTATTCCATCAAGCCATTCAACCCCTGATAAAGAACATTCATCTCACAGCGGATGTGATGCCTCGCGAGAGGGTTTATTAAAAGCTGTAACAACACCCCTACCAGCCTTGTCTACAGCTAGTCATATTTCTTACAAACATGGACATCTTTCGCCAACCGCTGCTGTTGCGCCGTGCGGTTGTCACTCGCAAATTGTTGGACACATTCCGTGCGACCCATTATCGCACAAACACCACCACGAAGGACATATTTCACCAACGTCACCATACGCGGCTGCGTACGCACGTGTGAAAACGGCCGATGGTGCCACAACTTTGATGCCAATCTGTAGAGATCCTTATTGTACAAATTGCCAACAAACACCACAAATAAACTCTTCATCTTGTACCCAGTGTCGCCATGACCCCATTGGTGTTGGACTTAGTGGAGCTATACCTGTAGCCTTACCGTTTGGTGGTGCTTTACCTGCCTACCCTTTACCAACAAGTATGTCAAGTGCAGCTTCTTACCTGTACACACCCCACCCAGGACTACCACCTGCCTCAACGGGTGACCACGTTTGTAATTGGGTGTCTGGAACAACAAGTTGTGGAAAACGATTTGCTAGCAGCGAGGAACTTCTTCAACATCTGCGTTCGCACACAAATGAAACAACGCCAAGTTCACCCCTTGCTGCATCGTTGAGTGCCCAGCTAGGAGCTTATTATATGCAATATCATCCATCAGCACCAGCACTTGGACTTAAATCTGGACATGCATCACCACTAAGTCCGGTCAGGTACCATCCTTACAGGAGCTCACTCACTGCCCCCATAAGTGCTCTCCCTAGTCTGCCGGCTGGTGCATATTATTCCCCTTATGCCCTTCATGATTTGAAGGCGCGGTTTGCAACGGGAATACCTCATTAAAAAACTTTATAAAAAAGTATTATGATTGTTTGTGACTACCAACTCAAAAAAGTCTGTATGGATTAGTCCAAAATTTGTTTGTATGTTTCATCAAAAGAGTTAGTTGATTTTATTTGAATTGTAATTTTGTTATTTTTAATATCAAAAGCTATTTACATGTTAACGTCCAAGTTTAAGAGTTACTCTTGAGTTCAGTTATTGTTAATATTTAAAAGTTAATTTATTGTTGTACATGGTGTATTGAAAATATTCCTTGCGTATATTATACATGGGTATCTTAGCTTAGGTTTTTTGCATTAAGCTGATCGCTGGAAATAGTAGTGGCTAATCCATGTAATAATTTAACTTAAATACGCCTTGTTTGAAGGGTTGTCAATGTTACATGTTTAATGCGAATGATTGATCAGGCCCCTTTAGAAACCAAAAAAAATATCCAGTTAAACCATCACTACTACGATGGCAGTCTATTGAAATCGACAAGGAAACAGCGCATGTAGCACGCTTGAAAGACTATCAATTCAACAGTGATGTATTGCTTTAAGTTTATCATGTTCCGTAGTTGGTGATAAACATGTCGCCATTGCGATGATTTATTAGTCCGTGCCTATTGCGGCGTTGCGGTAACAAATTTATGATTCAACTAAAATCGGTAACACTCGTTTAATGAGTTATGAAGCTCCGAGTCCGACGTGATCGTTTTGTGTAATTGTTCTGTTTTGTGAAAAAAATTGAAACATATTTATAAGATTTAATGAGAAGATAATTATGATCGTTAGCCAATCTCTATAAATGTATGTGGAAAATCCCCCTTTTCCGTTTGATTTTCCAGATTGATTATTGTACAGTTGTAAATAATATACAATACTATTTGTTATATTTCAGAATATTTTATTATTGTTATTAAACGTTGAGATCCATCTAATTTGTGATTTGAATACTTCATTATTTGTATTGTACAGTGAAGTGATGGCGTGAAAGTTGAGTATGAGATTGAAATCAGAGAATGGCGTTATTTATAGTATTATGGAGTTGACGAGCGAAGAGATTTATCATTTGCTAAATGTCATCCGCCGGTGAACGTTCCTTAACAATTCATATTTTTAAACCTCATAAAACCGACACGAGCACTATGGACACATTACATCAATACCCTATGTAATATAAATTCGTTGAGTGAAATGAGAGATAATACTGTACATGACTAATTACATGTCATTCGATGTATCGAAGGATGGACAAAATACTGATACGGTAATTAACTATAAATGATAGATGTTAATTGACAGACAGCCACAGAACTACTCAAAACACCATGCTAACGAATAATATTCAGTCTATAGTTTTATGGGTAAGATGGGGGGAGACGGGGAGTGTGTGTGTTACATGGACGGGGAGTGAGATAAAAATTGTACGGCGCACAGTAGAAAATGTATTTTACAATCTCGCTTTTTACATTAATTGGGAGCGTAGAGGTTTTTCCTAATACAGATGTTAGAATGGCACTTGCCAATTTGAATTACCGATATAAAAGAAAACGCACTTTCATTATCAAAATTTCACTCTCCATCCCGTCTTTAAATTTATGTCGATTCATCGTTGACGTGAAATTAAATACCTTAGCAGATTAAGAATGCTGAATTTTGTCAACTTTTCAAGGCTGTGTGTCGAGAATAATTACATTTTTAATTATAATATGCACATCTTATACAACCCTATAGCTAATGATGTCATAATATTATACAAAATTATTAATATTAAGCCTTCCTCCATGGTACAATGTAGGTCTATATATAATATACTGTATATATAAACATACAAAAAAGCCTAGTGTATTCATATTCATATATATATATATATATATATAATATATATATACGGTATATATATATATATATATATACACAGTAAGATGTGTATAAGAGACAGTATATATATATATGCCCCGTTTTCTGTTTCCTTTATCAGATATATTATACAATATCAGATATATTATACAGTATATCATTCGCACTGAGTGCGACAGCTGATTATTATTGCAGTGCTTGGATTATAAAGATAAAATACAAATTTATCAATATTATATATAGTATATTTATAATGTATACGCCGTATATCATCACTTTCACAGTTTTAAGCAAAGTGCGACAGGCGAACGACTCATGATCTATCTATAATTTTGAAGAGGCTTAACTATCTAATTTATCTTATGAATCCGATCTTCATCGGCTTAGCAACACCAGTAGTAGTGATAACAGATTTGTTTTACTTAGATATTGCCTGTTAGCAATGAACGTGCTATTCTTTACATTTTTGATAACAATAATTTATTACCTGTATTTTTTTTTTAAACAGATTCTTTTTAAAGAATACAGTATAGAATATTTGGTTAAAACATAAGTTACCGGATACCGAATAAAGCTCAAGATGACAAGTTTACAGGCCCATAATATATTTCTTCTGCGTGGGCACATTTTCTGATGAAATCTAAAGTAAAAATCTATTTAGGTCAGAGACAAATTAATGTGATATTTTAAAGCACGAAACGAAAGGCGGTGCGATGCTTCCTAGGCCGCCTTTGAATGACAATGTCAGCGATCGAAAGTCTTTTTCCGATAGTCGTCATCTCGATAACTCTATGTACCATAAATATGTGTCAGGATCGAACCACAAGGGCCTAGCTAAAAATCCTGTGTAGAGTAGGCACGGTGGCTTGTTTTGAAGAATGTATTTTTAATCATGGAGGTATAATAATTAATAATAATAATTGCGGTTCATATGCTCTATCGATTTTACTTTTCTAACCAGTGAGCAGTTTAAACTACCTACAGTCTATTAGATTTTTCTAAGACTTTATGTCCACAATTTGTTATCTATTATCCTAAGCAATTTATCCACTAACAAAGAAAAGGAATTCTAATTATGATTCATGAGTCGAGTTTTAATAATCATGAAAGCAACCCTTAAACTTGATCTTTTCCAATTTTATTCAAGAACACCTCTAAAAATATGGAAGTACTGTATAATCAGGATACTAGCCAAGATACAATGGTAAAATTGAATTTAATTATATGTCAGAGCCACATACACAGTAAAATCCATTAACACATGGATAACAAAAACAAGAACTTTTAAAGAACAATGTACTAAATAAATGAATTCTCTTCATAAAAAGCTTTCTTTTATTATTTTATTATTTCCATTATTCAGGAAAGAATTTTGAAGAAAAGGATTCATAACCAACAAACAATAGCTCTCATGTAGGCTAAGTATGTGCACATATTATAGTATTAATGAACGAAGAATATAGGCTATATATTTTTTTTTATCATTCCTCTATAATAAGCTAGAGCAATAGGTTAGGCTTGCTTTTATACGTATAGCCTAACCCAGGGAACAGTTAAATTACACCTAACCTAAAGCAAAGTTAACCGTCTGTCTGTTTGCTTTATTATATACCGCTATTGTGCTAAGGGCTCAAAAAAAGTATATTTTGAAACACAGTACCCTGTACTATACTCTAAAGTTTCGTTTTTGGAAATTGTGGTTGTTAACCTGAAATGATGCTCTTCGTTTTCAATTAAGAGTGAGCTATAGATTACTCTTCATAGATTACACTTCCTATGTGTTTTTGTTATAGGCCTATACCGTAATAACGAAATGTTGGATTTACATATTTCATTTAATTCGAATTCGCCAACACATCATTTTGCATCTTATCTTGATCGCCATATGAATGACTGACTACCTTTATGTTCCACACATTTTTATGATCTAGTTGGGAATTGTTCGCTGTTTTAACACGTTGCAGTTTATCCTATAAGAATTCGATGGGCATATAGTAGAATAGAATAGAATAGAACATTTGTATAGCGCCGGTATCCGCCAAAAATGACGCTCGTGGCGCTTCTCAAAGTAGGCCTACATAAGTGTATTATGCCTATTTACTGTGTATGCATATTTACTTTGTTGGCCTAACCTGTTGTCCCATTCTGAATCTATCAATATTAGAAGTCATTATACATTATTTAATTATTTCTTATAGGCCCAAAAATAATCACATAGCGCATTTGCATCCATAGGTCATGAATTTTATTAGGCCTATCTAAACAATAATCAGTAACAACATATAAACCTAATGATACTTAAGAAATATACCGGTATATCAAATTTAAATCCATATTCACTTGGGAATATAGGCCTATTTATTATTCGTTTAATATTAAGCAACTTACGTTTTCAGCCGTATATTTTAGATTAAGCTTTTAGCAAAGAAAGGAAAAGTCTCTAATGAAGATGATGATGATGATGATAATAACAATAATAGTAATAATGATAATAATAATAATAGGCCTAATAATAATAATAGAAATAATAATAATAATAATAATAATAATAATAATAATAATAATGTAAATGGCAATAATAATATGATAATAATTAATAGGCCTATACTAAAATTATAATAATGGTATCACACAGATGCTATAGGCCTGACGCCTATAATATATGGATTCAGTGTTTTGGTATAGTTTAATGTCATCGTTTCCTAATATTGTCGTTAAATTTATGTATTTGATTTTTTCCATATGTTTGATAATGAATATTCTTTGTTGCGGTACGGTTACTTATTGCTGTGTTTATTGTTGTACTGTAAACGTTTGTGTTCGATATTTTTATATGCCTTCTGTTGGTACCGTACGGTTAATGATAAATAGGTTTACACGTACTAAAAATAAAAATTATGGTTATAATAACATCAACATTTTTTTGATACACTCATAATATATTCTGCGTGTATGGCACTACTAGATGGTCGGAAATGGCACTTTTAGACTTCAATTTGAATGTAATTTTCCCTTTCTCCCATTTTTCTTTTAATTTTCAAATTTAGAGGGGCACAATATATGTGTGTGTGTGTATATATATATATGTATGCGTATACATATATATATAGGCCTATATACATATATCTAAATATATATATACATACATATATCTCTTATACACATCTAGATGTGTATAAGAGACTAAATATGGCCTCTCGTCGTTGACCAATATATACTGTGTTTCAAATTTGTTAGTTTTCAAATGAAAAAGTATAAATTCATGTTTAAGTATACGTATCGGCAGGCCTATTGTACATGAAATGGATAGCGAAACAGATACAGTATTGCTAAAATATATAGTCCTATAAAAAATGAATATAAAAGATCTGACTGAATTTTAGTAAACAGTCAAGCATCTGTATTCTAAGTTACCATACAGTCGCCATAGGCTATTATTGACAGAGGTAAATATTTTTTATATTTATATTATTTAATGTTGTTTAAAAACCACTTTTTTATGGTTTAACTGTGTAAGTTATTGCTTGATGACAACTGTGTTCAGTTTACTGTCGTTCATGAATATAATATAATGTAATATAATATAATATTTACAGGCCTACATACATTTATATATATATATATATATATATATATATATATATTGCCTTGGTTTGGCTCTGTAATCATTAGTGGTAGTGGGACTGGTTTTATATATATATACATATACACACATATATAGGCATATATATATAAAAGAATGAAATGAATATATATATATATTATATAAATCAAGATAGCCGTTAACACTGTTAAATTATATATAATTCATCAAAGAAATATGATGAATTTATATATATATATATATATAGGCTTATTTCATTTTTCTTGGATGCGTATATTGATAAGCAAAATCTATAGAAAGAAAGCTCGCATACATAAATTTCTGTAAATTCGTATCATGACTTAACTTGATTGATTCATTAATGCGGTTGGTTTAGATGACGAGTGGAGAGGCGGTTTGCTTCGTTATGTATAGGCAGACAATGGCTAAATCAATATTAAAAATCAGTATGCAAATTTCAATGATGGTATGTTT